GCACACACACACACACACACACACACAAACACACACAGATCCACCTGACCATCTATGACACGGCCGGCCAACCAGAGCTCATTGACGTCCGCCGCTCCGTGTATCCGGCCACTGACGTCATCCTGCTGTGTTTCGACATCTCCTCTCCGGACTCGTTCAACAACATCTCTGACCACTGGAGGCCTGAGCTCCAGCAGATCCGGAAGTACACCCACTGCCCGCTCATCCTGGTGGGAAACAAACACGACCTGAGAGGCCAGCCGATGACGTCAGACGGGGCCATCAGAGCTGCTTCCGGTGTGTCCCATGGCGCGGCGGGGAGTGAGGGGGAGAGTGAGGGGGAGAGTCTGATCACCTACGAAGAGGGGAAATCTCTGGCTCACTCACTGGGCGCCTACGCCTACCTAGAGTGCTCCTCCAAGACCGGGGCGCACGTGCGGGAAGTGTTCCGAGCCGCGACTCTAGTCGCCATGCAGCACAAGCGATTCAAGAAGTCCAGGATGCCCGGATGTTTGCCCAGTTGTGTGTCGTCAGCTCACTAGATCCTCCACGGCAGGGGACAGCGTCGGATCGTTGTTCTCGCCGCACCAGAAGTGACCCCATTCTGACCCCATTCTGACCCCATTCTGACGGGGAAGCTGTGGGTTTGTTCTGGTTCAGGTTTGGATATTGATCAGTTGTAGAATTGTTCTCTTTTACGACTGCATCGGCACGGCTTTCAACAAAACGTCGGTGAGTTCATTGGATCCTTCCCGTCAGAGTCCCACAAGAGACAGAGATCATAACGCTTAGATTATGTACAGAGATGAACATTACAATCTCATGATGCCCAGAGGACCTGATAGCATTCTGGAACAAATATCAACTTCCTGAGATGCATTCAGAGCAAGATGCTTGTAAAAAGTGTCTTTCCCAAGGACACAACGTCGGGCCTGAGGCTCGAACCCCAGACCCCGTAACCTCACGATTATGAGTCCATTAGCCTAACCATTGGTGTCATCATCATCAATGCCTTTCTCACCCTGCACCAGGGTATAGGCCACGGACAAACACTTTCTCACCCTGCACCAGGGTATAGGCCACGGACAAATACTTCCCACCTCTCTCTATCCAACCATTGATATAGATGTCTATCTTCTACAGGCTATCAACTCATCGTTCTTACATTATTTCCATCCTTTCTACCTTTCTTTTTCCTTTCTTTCCTCCCTCCTTACCGTTATTCCTTCAATACTTCCGTCTACTCTAGATTGGTTGAACCCTTCCAATGCCGAGATAAATGTTACCACAACAAGCTGGTTTGCTCAAATGAATAGGTCGGAACAAATGATGAAATGATATTGGTTTCAAGCCCCTGTTAACACTGTTAGGTTTGAATAGATCTGATATACACTTTTAGACTCCTTCGAATAACAGAGTTGGTTTTGATGTACCTGGGACACCTGGAGGTGTCATCTTTGACTCAGAGGTTGACCTGTAACGACCCTCCATCCTTCACGGTCGCGAGCTGCCGTTGTACATTGTGCTACAGTCTAGCCAGGCCAGTCCGTGTTTTTATGTTGTCCACCCATGTTACTCTTTGACTTCCCCTGCCCCCCTCCCCCCCTCCCCCTCCATCCTTCTTTCAAGCTCCTCTTTCGCCGTGGTCTGTTGTCGTTGTAAGTGAAGTTTAGTCTTTCCTGACTTTGCGATCACGTGTGCTAAGTTTCCGACTTTTTCCTCGCACAGGTGTTATTGTGATCCACACATCTTGGTCCTCGAGGCCTCTCAGATACCTGTCCTTTGGATATCTTTTGATACTTTTTGATACCCTTTGATACCTATGTCCACTCTAACACCTGTTCTTTTGATACCTGTTGATACCTTTTGATACCTTCATCCACTCAAATACCTGTCCTTTTGATACCTGTTGATACCTGTTGATACCTTCATCCACTCAAATACCTGTCCTTTTGATACCTCCCTCTGCTCTGTCCACAACTCTAGACTTCACTGCTACGGTCCACTTCCTTATAGACCTGCGGCAGTCAACCCGGACTGTCCACTTTAGGTACACGTAGATATACATTGATCTACTTTGATCGACTCCGTCAACTTGCTCTCATTATGTCAGCGAAAGCTCAATCGGAAACTCTCCTTTTGTGTGTGAGTTTCAGGGAAGAGAAGCAGATGGACAGATTAACCATCACATAGTGCAGGGACAGATTAACCATCACATAGTGCAGGGACAGATTAACCATCACATAGTTGACATAGTGCAGGGACAGATTAATCATCACAGAGTGCAGGGACAGATTAACCATCACAGAGTGCAGGGACAGATTAACCATCACAGAGTGCAGGCACAGATTAACCATCACATAGTGCAGGGACAGATTAACCATCACATAGTGCAGGGACAGATTAACCATCACATAG